AGTAGCGGACTGTATAATTAGCATCAGTTGGGAAACATTTATAGTTTACACGGACAATAGGTTCACAGATTACAACACAGGAGGACCCAGAACATCCTCTTTTGGAGAAGACTGCGGCATCAAACCAACCGATAAGATATTCTGTAAGCTTTCGAACTCAATGAAAGCCGCACGGTTGAATAATGTTTAAAGTCTATAGGATCATGATTTAATAACGAGATCGAGACATGTTATTAGAATGTTACAATAAGTGCTATTTGTTGTATGAAAAGAAAAGGCTAATATTTCATTGAAATACCATAAATTCAGTGGGTAGTAAATTCCACAGAAGTCACACAACTACGTGCAGCAGGAAAGGCGACGAATATCGTACATCGTACATCGAAATCATGCAAAATTTTAATAGAAAAACAGAGCCAAATTATAATTTATTAGAGCAAATAAATTACGAACATAGTAGGGCAAATTATATTAGAAAATTCATAAAACATTACAAATGGTTACCCAGCTTGGGGAATGGTAAAATAAGTTGAGTTAAAGATAGTTGATACACATTTTCTGTTTTCGTTCACGTTCATTTTTACTACGGACACATTTTCGAAGGTGGAATTTAAGGGTTTTGCTATATCCCAATTAATTTAATATTTCAGCAGATTTGGAAAAAATTATTACAATCGCGTCGACCCTTTTCCCTTTATCAACTACGTCGGCTAGGTCCTGTAGAAGCGAGACTAGATGACTTTCACGTGAGAAACCATTTCTGAAACCGTGCTGACCCTCATAAAGCCACTCCCTGCCCTCCCATTTTTTCCTGATATAGCTTGAAATTACATGTTCCACAAGTTTGCATACGACTTACGACGATGTAAGGCTTACCGGCCTATAGTTACTAAGTATTGTCTTGTCGCCACTTTTAAAAATAGGTACTATGAGAGCCAGGTCCAAATTTTCTGGTATGCAAACGTTGTTTATTGATGCATTAAATAACCTAATTAAATATTGTAGAATAGCTTCTCCACCTAATTTAATGATGTCCGTGGAAATACCATCAGAACCTCGTGATTTTCCTCTCCATTAATTTTATTCTTTTCCGCGAAGTATTTACATCAATATAAAAACTGCTACAAACAATATGAAACCATATACTGCTGTGAAAGAGAGAAGTGCCTATGTTAATCCTCAGTGCCATTCTGTCCTTTACAAATCCATTGTGCCTTAAAACAAAAATAAACTACCGCTCACTGCTCGGCCGCATGCTCGCGACACGGCACCAAACAGAGCCTTTTCCCCCCGCTGTTTACGCATTTTATAGGCAACACAAATGACATGTACGTCATCAGAAATTGAATCGTGACGGGCGCGCGCTGCCCGTGGAGAGGTCGGGGGGGGGGGGAGGATGAAGCGCCGGACTGCCGAGGCACCTTATAGCGACTCGGAGGTACCAGCAGGGTACGAGCGGGGAATACGTGGAGCGGGATACGTGGATAAGACGAGCGGGGAGAAATGTAGCCGTCGTCAGCTCTGGCGAATTGCGCAGTCGCCTCTATGGAGAGACGGCCATAGATTTCATGTACTTCTGTTTAAAAAATGATGCTCAAATGCTTCATGGAGTGATTCACTCCATTCCTGATAGACAAGTTTGGCTTCCCTAGGAGTTTCCCGTACAATAAGGTTTGTCCTAACTCTGAACCTTCTCTTACAGTATTGTAGCGAACATGGAAATTATCAAGTTTCTCTAATAATATAGTTTCGCGATAAAGTTTGAAGTGATCTAGAAATTTCACTAAATTTTATTCCACTTGTTTCATGTTGAATTGTATCAGTACTGAGTTTCTCAGTCATCTCTAGTCGATTCCGTCATCTTCCATTCTGTGTTCACTTTCATTTCTGCAGGATGGCAAACGCTCACCATTAGACTGAGAAGTGGGTCAGTGTTTACCACTTTCCTTAACTAAGGTGTATTGTAAAATACGAGATCCTTAATCTGCAGAACTAGTTTTCTATCTTTACCATTTAAAATTCAACCTTTTCCCCCACTAACACTTCAACAGATTTCTTAGTAAGATATAGCCACGTTAGAAGTCAAATAGCAACGAAAGACTAATGAAAACAGGAAATGATGCACAATATCAGAAACGCGTACTTTATTTTTCAACCTTTCAGCAAATGTCAGTACGCGTGGTAACTGAAAGTAAAATTCTACTATAACGTTGCACAGTCCCCCAAATCACAATTTCTCGAAGTAATACTCTATACCATATTACTGCACACAAAGCAACATCAAACAGGAATTTCCGTAGAAGTCTTCAGACACAAATGCACTTCATGATCCGTTAATGAAATTTTGTTAGGAAAACTATTTGTTAACATGACACTTGTATTGATTTAGGGGAAAGGAGTCAGCATAAGAAAGTGTATTTGAAAATCGAATGAGAGGTTTTGATAGAGACAAGGTAACGACATTGTTCTTGTGCATATAAGCATTTGAAATAATAAACTGAGATGGGCGGGCAGGTAAGTTTCGCCGGCTTGGCGATATCTCAAAAACAAGATTTGCAAATCTCAGCATTTGCTCAAGGGTTCAGGGAAACTGGACGAAAACCCTGATCCCGAGATGGGAGTTATTGACCCAGAAGGATGTACAAAAACTACAATTAACGATTTTTTGTTTTTAGTGGATTTTTGTTACAAGCTGTCATTAGAAATAATATAATACCCAAAGTGGTGAATTAATACATTAAATGTCATTGCTAAAAAATATTTTCCTTTTAGACGCTCTTAAACTAATTGCCATAGAAACAGCTAATTACATGGTACTTAAATTTTAAATGTCATAAAATTTAATCGTTTAATATCGGTCTGCCCCAAGGTGGGTGATAAAATAATCCTACAATGTATTATGTGACATTTTTTTAATGAGCTGTTAAATACTGTCTCTGGAAATGAATATGAGTAACTACGTTCGAGTGTTTGTATTTATAGAAAACGTTGAAATATTTTAATATTCCGTAAAAAATATACTGCACGCTCTTTAGAAATTAATTTGTATAAAAAAAACACTGATTTAATACGTCAAGAGAAAATGGTAAATGTAAATGTCTAGGTTAACAAAGAGAGGATTGCAAGAATCCACGTAATGGGATTGCTTTATTATTCTAGAATTACTTTTTTGTAGTTTGTCTGGATGTTACCAAGATGTAATTTCCGCCAGAAATATTATGCTATATCGCAGTCGGGATTGAATAATCTGCCCGGAAATACACGAGCAGTAATGAAAGCTGGCTGAGGTTAGAAGAATACGGAAAGTGTAGCATAAAGAAGGACAATTTGGTGTTCAATTTATTTAAAATGCGTTCCATGTTAGGTTTTATTGAATGGAAAGACTAAAAATTTTGGTAACTTAAGTTAACCAAAATTCAATCAATCAATGGAACAAAGTTAATTTTTAATGAAAGACAGAAGCTGTTTATTTGAAATCGTTAACTGCCATTGAAACCGTATTATTTTTCATTTACACTGAGTTTTCTATTACGAAAACAAATTTAAAAATATCTCCTATGGTTTTTTATTGCAAAAGGAATTATCTTATCCTCCGCAAAGAACTGTTGCGTCCGTTTCTATCGTCGGAGGGCATAACCTTTACGTTTCGTAGAAAACAGAAAGAGCCTAAATTCATAGATCAACAAATGATTTCAAAAATAGCGAATGAACGAACGCTAACAATAAAATTCTTACCGAGAAAAAATTATCATTGAATCTCCAATGGGGTTTGGTCGGTTCATGTTAAAACCCGATCGCTGAGAAAGAACCCAGGGTTCGGTGGATTAGCCTTCCCGATGTTCTATGGAAACCTGCAACGTTTTAGAGCAGATTAATCCAAAGCTTTTTCCGACTGGCCGAACGACGACAAAATCACTAAACGAAAACACGGGAAGACAATGTCACCGCACTCTGGCAGGTGGCTTCTATGGTAGCTCTAGTAGAGACAGTGTGATTAAAAAGACCATCTCCTGGGATGACGTCTGTGCGAGGTATGGGCAGGAGCTGATTAGTCAAGATCACAGGCCAGAAATGGAGACAGCAAAATGTTGTTTCTGTGGTGATGCAAGCGGACTGGATACACTTTCTCCTAAAAAATGTTGCCGATAGAGAAATGGACAGAATTTTGGTAGGCATGGGGGGGGAGGAATAAATGCTAGGATTAAGAATACTACGTACAAAAAAAGACGAGTTAGCGGAATGAGTGTGAATCTGTATATCTTGCGGAAATTTATATGTGATATTGGCATTTTAGGTTAAATCATCGAAGATTAACTACAGTAAGCCAGCAGGCATATGTCAAATGAAATTACAATTAGCTCACATCTTAATTTCTAACATTATTTAACTCACGTGAATTTTTATTGTCTTTCCCCTATGCTCGAGTATAATTGTGATGATTAGGAAGTAATAGCTTGTTGTTGATGTCAACGCTTCGTAAATCGCCCAAGACGTTTTCCGCTTGTGTCTGAGGAGATGCGGCCCGAGTGTTGCCGCCAATTTGCAGATGCAGAGGGCACCGCTGGGACGCGGAGGGAGCCCGTGACATCAGCGCGCAGCTCCAGCAGCGGAGAGTCAGAAGACGAGGGCGAAGCGCAGTAGCGTAGCTTTATACAGGGCGCGGATCTGCCTGGTGGCTTCTCCTGGGAACGGCGCTGCCGCTGTCTGCGTTCGGGGTCAAGCAGGACACAATGCAGCCAACGCAAATGGGGTAAGGCATGCATGTCCTGCCTAATTACTTAATTTGGTATGTACATTATAACACGAATAAATTCCCTACCCGAGTTGGATTTTAATTTTATTATCTATTGTATATATATATATATAATATATATCTAATATATATATATATTCACATTAAAGCATCCCACGTGAAAACTAATATAAAAAGCATCCTTACCTTGTCACCCCATATCTATCTGTAATAAGTAATCAGGCAGAATTTACTATAGAATAAAGTCACTTTCTATTCAGTTTAAACAATCGCGTTTTGTGCAGAAATTCAATTTATGACAAACCCAAATAATTTTTGATACTTTTTGAATAGTTTTCGTCGATTTTGTACTGTCCCTTTTTTCTCCTTAACATTCATTTGATGTTTTTATTCGTCGATTTAATAGTACTTGTTTACAAACTATTTACGAGGGGCAACAAATAGTTTCCACAGGAACACCTGAGTAGCCTTATTCAAAAATTTTATCGCTCTTACTATTGAATGTCAGTCCGTCTGTGAGTACTAAGCTAATCTAAGGTTTCCTGTTGACGCCAATAGGGCGCTAGTTCGGTCGTTCTCCAGCTTTTAATAAACTGTCTAATCCCAAAATTGGAGCTGAGTTCCAATTGAACAAAAGGAAGAGGCTAGATTACTCCCAGTAACATATTCCAACAGCTTAAAGTATTGGATGTCCTTACCAATGTCATTGAAGGGTTGTTCAAAATATTTTCTAATGCCCTTGTTTTTAAAAGGCCACCCCTTAAATTGCATTTTAAGTGCATTTAGAGAAACGATTTTTAAAGTTTTAGGCGTCATCTAATCCGCGCACCCGTACTAATGGAGAAATTTAAAAATTGTATCACGGTATTCCAGTGCTGCATGTATGTGTTAACTGGCGACCCTATATTCGAACGCTCAACTAGTTACGCTGGACTACTTAAAACTCTGTCCATGAAAATTTGTTTCTTGGTCCGTTCGTTACTTTTGTTTTCCTTTTCAAATTTTCCCCGGGACCAGATTTAGTCCGTATTTCGAAGTTCTGAAACATTGTGTTCTATACAAAATATAGTAAACTAATCTTTCCTATCCATAGATAAAATTAGCACACCTTTCTTCTTTTGTCAAGTATCGTATTTTTTCTTCGCATTGAATTTTTGCTTTACTGTGTAGGTAACAGACTGTTTGCCCCGGAACTCTTCCGTTGGTTACCCTATAACGTAGTTAATAATACCGTATCCCTGAAATTAGATTATTGGGAAAAGAGTTAGTGTGGCCGATATGTCATATTTGCGAAAAAGTTAAAGAGATAAAAGCCAAACCCACACCCGAAGAAAATGAAAAGTGGAAACGAATGGGGGCCACAATCGATGTTTTGGTCCGTCCAGTCTTAAGAATGTCATACATCGTCTCAACTCAGTGTTTACTGAATATTTGTAATCCCCAAAATATATAAAAAACTAATAAAAAATAGTTTTATTATTTCTGATTTATTTATCTGTAAAAATTTCTAATGTTATATATTCATTAACAAACGACGATAATATATACATTGACAACATTTGTGGAATAAAAACTATGCACAGAGTTGTAATTTGTTCAACACTGCCAGAATTGTAGATTCAAGTTAAATACAAGAAAATATTAATTAAGGAAAATTCTTAAAATAAGATGATTTTCAAAATCTCTTCTAAAATTTATATTAAAATCATTAATTAAAATCGAAAATAACTCCGTAATATTGATAATTCTTAGAAGTTACTATTACAATTTTAATTTCTGTATCCACTCCAATATATGTTCCCAAAAACACTGTTTTTTTTCCTCTTAGTTCTGTTCCCCAAGTACCCGCACAACTTTATTAACCCAGTAAACCCATCGAAACATTCCTGTTGAAGCTAAATTTACTAAACATATCATATTCTACTTTACTGGAATGCAGATATATTAACATCTCAAAATATTTGCCTTTACATGTCCCTGGATAAATCGTGTAAGCATTCTGACTTAAACAACAAGGCTTCATAATTTATCCCGCGTGATGAAATATGCAATTTAAAAACAGCATTTTTGAAGTATTGAAAGTTTTTAAAAATGTTGTAATAGTGAGGCTTAATGTAATATGAAAATTAAAGTTTTGTAATAAATGCATCAACCTTCAAGTGAGTTTAAAAAAAATAATTATATCAATAGTCTTTCCGCCAAATTTAAATACCTTCTGCCCAAAGCTAGCCGACTTTGTTAGTCTTCCCTTTTGTTGAAGATTAAGGCCATTTTAACAAGGCCTGCGTCCTAAACCGAATTACTAATTGTTGGAGTGATTTTGAATATGGAATAGTAATAAAAACACATCCCCCAAAGCTAACTACACTAGAAAAACAATTAGTACACAATTTAATTAAACCAAAAAAAAATATATATGCTTTTCTTACACGAAAATGGGAAAACATATTGAAAAATGTAATTTAATGTTCATCGTAAATTGGAGAAAAAACGCCCTTAACACACAAAATTAATTTCGACCACTTAATTCTGTTTGCCTTGAAAAAGTTCTCTCAATCAACTTCAGAAAAAACCTTTTTATGAGGCTTCTGCCTAGATTGGCTAAAAAATATTGATGTTCAATGAGATTGCTTCGTTCCATACACACCATTTCTTTTTTCCTCTTCTTGTTCCGCAAAATTTGAATATTTTACTCCAAACAAATGGATGGCGTGCAGAATGCAACGGCGGGATGGATGGATAGAAGAGGATGGATGGATGGCATGGAGAGAGGATTGGAATAGGATGGTTGGTGGATAGAAGAGGAGGATGGATGGATGGATAAGAGAGGATTGGATGGGAATGGATGGATAGAGAGGATGGATGGTGGATGGATTTAGAGAGATGGCATGCGATGGATTGGCAGGAGATGGGATGGATGGAGGATAGCAGAGGATGGATGGATGGATGGATAGACGAGGATGGATGGATGGATGGATAGAGAGGATGATGGCATGGATGGGATGGATAGAGAGGGATTGGATAGGATGATGGATGGCATAGAGAGCGATGGGAGATGATGGATGGATAGAGAGGATGGATGGATGGATAGAGAGGATGGATGGATGGATAGAGAGATGGATGGATGGATAGAGAGGATGGATGGATGGATAAAGGGATGGATGGATGATAGAGGGATGGATGGATGGAAGGAGGTGGATGATGGGATAGAGAGGAATGGATAGAGAGGGATTGGATAGAGAGGGATGGATAGAGAAGGATGGATGGAATGGATGGGATAGAGGGATGGAGGATGCATGAGATAGAGAGGATGGAATGGATGGCATGGATAGAGAGGATGGATGGATGGATGGATAGAGAGGAGGATGGTATGGATGCGGATAGAGGGATGGATAGCAGAGGATGGATAGAGAGGATGGATGGATGGGCATGGATAGAGAGGATGGATGGAATGGATGGATAGAGAGGGATGGATGGATTGGATAAGAGAGATGGATAGATGAGATGGATGATGGATAGAGAGGATGGATAGAAGATGGATGGATGGATGGATTAGAGAGGGATGGATGGATGGATGGATGATGGATAGAGAGGATGGGATGGATGGATAGAGAGGATGGATGGTAGGGATTAGAGAGGATGGAATGGATGGAATGGAGAGGATGGTGGATGGGATGGACCATGGATGGATGGATCAGAGAGATGGCGATGGATGGCATAGAGAGGATGATGAAGGATGGAGAGCGATGGATGGATGGAATGCGAGAGGTGGATGGATGCATGGAGAGGGATGGATTGGGATGAATGGAGAGGATGGAATGGATTGGATGGACGGGATGCGATGGGATGGACGCATGGATGGATGGATGGATGGATAGGATGGATGGATGGATAGGATGGATGGAATGGATGGATGGATGGATGCATGGATGGATGGATAGCATGGATGGATGTATGAGAGGATGGATGGATGGATGGTGGATGGATAGGATGGATGGATGGATAGGATGATTGGGATGGATAGATGGAGTAGGATGGATAGGAATGGATAGGATGATAGCAAATGGCATGGATGGAAGGAGCATGGATGGACGATGGATGGATAGCATGATGGATGGGATGGATAGCATGGATGATAGGAGGATAGCATGATGATGGAGGATAGCATGCAGTGGATGGGATGGATTAGCATGGATGGATGGGATGGTAGCATGATGGATGGATGGATGGATAGCTGGATAGGAGGATGGATGGATAGGCATGGATGGATGGATGATGTGTTAGCATGGATGGATGATGGATAGCCAATGGATAGCATGGATGATGGATGGATGGATTAGATGGAATGGATGGATGCCCCGATAGCATGGAGGATGGAATGGATGGATGGATAAGCATTGATGGAATGGATGGATGGATAGGCATGGATGGAATGGATGGATAGCATGGATGGATGGATGGATATAGCATTGATGGAGGATGGAGAGGATGGATGGAGGGATGAGAGGATGGATGGAGGATGGAGAGGTATGGATGGAGGGATGGAGAGGATGGAATGGAGGGATGGAGAGGATGGATGGAGATGGAGAGGATGGATGGAGGGATGAAGAGGATGGATGGCAGGGATGGAGAGGATGGATGGAGGGATGGATGGATGGATGGATGGGATGGATGGATGGATGGATGGATGGATGGATGGATGGATGGATGGATGGATGTATGGATGGATGGATGGATGGATGGCATGGATGGATGGATGGTGATGGATGGTGGATGGATGGAGGATGAGGATGGATGGATGATGGAAGGATGGATGGATGGATGGATGGAGAGATGGATGAGGGATGGAGAGATGGATGGAGGGGATGAGAGGAATGGATGGAGGAATGGAGAGGATGGATGGAGGATAGATATGATGGATGGAGGGAATGGAAGGATGGCATGGAAGGGATGGAGAAGGATGGATGGAGGGGATGGAGAGATGGATGGAGAGGATGGATGGCAGGGATAGATAGATGGATGAGGAGGAGAGGATGGATGGAGGGATGGATGGAATGGATGGAGGATGAGAGGATGGATGGAGGGATGGAGAGGATGCGATGGGAAGGGATAGATAGAATGGATGGAGCGATAGATAGCATGGAGAGTGGATGGAGGGAGAATGGGATGGAGGCGATGAATGGATGAGGGATGAATGGACGGAAGGGATAAATGACGACGGAAGGATGAAAAATGGAAAACGGAACGCGAGGGAGGGATGAAACGGAAACGGAGGAGGGACTTATGAAACGGACGGAGGGAGCGGAGATGAACGGAGAGGGAGGATGAAGAGATGGATGGATGGATTGCGCGGAATGAATAGATAGGTGGATGAGGAATGAATGAGGATGGAGGATGAATAGATAGATGGAGGGGATGGAGGATAAATGGAAGATGGAGGGATGGATGGAGTACCATGGATGGAGGGATGATGGATACATGGATGGGTGGGATGGATACGATGGATGGATGGATGGATACATGATGGATGGATACATGATGGATGGATTAATGGATATATTAGATGGATACATGGATAATAGATGGATGTTACATGGATATATAGATGGATACATGGATACATAGATGATACATGGATATATAGATGGTACATGGATTACATAGAGATACAATGGATACATAGATGGAATACATGGACACATAGATGGATTTACATGGACACATAGATGGATACAATGGACACATTGATGATTACATGCGACACATAGATGGATACAATGGACACAAGATGGATACGATGCGACACATAGATGGATACCATGGACCACATAGATGGATACATTGGACACATAGATGATACGATGGACACATAGGATGGATACATGGACACATAGAATGGATACCATGGACACACAGATGGATACATGGGACACACAGATGGATACATGGACACATAGATGGATACATGGATACATAGAATGGATACATGGATACATAGATGGATTAACATGATACATAGATGGATACATGGATACATAGATGGATTACCATGGATACATAGATGGATACATGGATACATAGATGGCAACATGGCATACATAAGATGGATACCCATGGATACATAGATGGATACATGGATACATAAGATGGATACATGGATACATAGGATGGATCATGATACATAGATGGATACATGGTACATAGATGGATACACAGCA